ATTAATACTTTATATTAGGAAACAATCAAAACTTCTATGAAATCACATATTCATCAAATGAAATGGACGGTTAAGATTGGGTTGTATTGATTGCACAAATGTCAAGGGTTGTATAATAACCAACCTCTATATATATATATATATATATATATATATATATATACATACTAGGTTCGATCCTATGTCTTACATCAGAATTAGAAATGGATAATGCTGTTTGGACCCCTACCGAAGCTGGGACTCAAGCCCAAGGCATGGATCTGGTTCGAGAAAGGGTGGACGAAGACTTGGTTGAGCCTGAACCCGATCCTTTGAGGGATCCCTAAATCCTTAAGTTAAGTCCCATGATACGGACCCCTCCCCCCTTGAGGATWGGATTGACTTGGTTATTGCGGAACCAGCACGGGGTAATATAAAAAAATTAAATCATGTAAGGAACTTATCTTACAGATATGAATGATCATCGAAAGTGCGATGCTACTTCAGACTTGTACTCTGAAGAATGAATCTTCAGACTTGCACTCTGAAAATAACTCTAAAGTATAAAATCAATCCCATTAAATCAGAGTTCAGACTTCTAAGGGGTCGATTACCAAACGCTTACCTGGGTAAGCACTTACCAAGTGACATTAGTTTTCCAAATAAATACGGTAAGAACCAAGAATCTTACCCAGTAAGAACGAGACAAGGACCAAGAATTTTACCCGACGACTCTTACCATGGTAAGTGCTTACAGGGCAAATTGTTGTATACGATTACTTTTGATGGACTAAAATCTTGTCTGGTAAGTAACTGATAGTGTTAAAATTTATCGATAAGCGCTTACTGGGTAAGTGTTTGGTAAACAGCTCCCTATGTCTGGAAAATAAAAAAAGACATCAGAGTTCAGACTTCTAAGTCTGAAAAAAAAAAAGACTTTAGAGTTCAGAGTTCGGGTGAGCTAAGCCTGAAAAGAAGACTTCAGAATTCGGGTGAGCTAAGTCTGAAAAGAAAATTTCAGAATTCAGGTGAGCTAACTCTTAAAAATAACTTCAGACTTGTACTCTTCATAATTGTAGAAGACTTTAGAGTTCAGGCTTTTAAGTCTGAAAAGAAGACTTCGGACTTCTTTTTCTAAGTATAGAAAAAAGATTTCAGAGTTTTAAGTCTGAAAAGGAAGACTTCAAAGTTCAGACTTCAGGGTTCAGGTGAGCTATGTCTGAAAAAGCAAACTTCAGACTTGTTCTCTTGAAATAACTCTGAAGTAAAACTTTTCAGTAAATTAAATTTAGAATAAAATGAAGTTAACCTAAGAATAAAATTGGATTTAAAAATAAAACTATATCAGTAAATTGAATTTAAACTTAGAAGTAAACACCATTTTTTTCGGGAATTAGTTACCACACAAATTAATTAACCCAAGAATAAAATTAATTGCATCCTAAATTAGTGGGATTGATTGAATAAGATGACACATATCAATCAAATGAGTATAATTGAACTGTTAATGTAAATCGTGTCTAGATAAGTGTTTAGATGGGAAAACAAGAAAACCGACTCACCAGAAAATGACACGTGTCACTCAAGTTACTTATTTATTATAAGTATATATATATATATATATATATATATATGTGTGTGTGTAAATGTCTAATGTTTAGTTTCCATTTGTCTTCAGAAAACTTTATATTATATGACAACAATACGTATGGATGTGTATCTCGTTTCATTTTAAAAATACTAATTTCATTTGTAGCTCAAATTATCAAACAAACTAAACTGAACTATTTTGTAGTTGGTTTTATCTTGCTCGATATACTGGCTGACTAATGGTTGACCGCTCTGACCTACCAAACCTAAATCACGCACATCCTTTATAACCAATGAACTACTTTGTGACTTGAAAGCTGGTAATTTTTTTTAATCAAATGTAGTGTTACTTAATAGTTATTTGGTTCGATTTTAACAATACAATTTATAATTTCTTCGAGCCAAAGTTCAAAAAATTTGAACTTTTTAAAAACATTAGTACATCAATTTAATTGATGGTTTCTTAAAAAAGTTTAAAACGTTGTTCACCTTTTCTTACAACCTAAAGTTGTCATTAAACTGAAGATTCGTTTACTGAACGCTTATAAGCAAAAGTCATCACTTTTACTTGCCTTATGGGCTGACATATTATCGGCCATCAAAATGAAATAATGGTAAATTATTTAATATAATTTAATATAAATTATTTTTAAAAGGCATATTTGATTATAAATTTATAGAATATAATGGATGTTAAAATCTCTAAAATAAAGAATCTGTTGGAGTTAAATGTAATTTTGTTTAGAAATTATGACTTTTTTGTTTATCTATTTTAAAGAAATTATAGAAAATCTGTTGGAGATTCTCTAAAACTCTTTATCTTGTAAGTTAATTGAACATGTATCGTAGTCTTTGGCCTCCTAGTATGTCAGGAGTTCAAACCACATCAAATGTGAGGAGAGTATGTGAGTTTATTTATTACATTTATCATATATAATTATTATATACTTCAAAAAGAAATTGAACCGGTAATCATTTACCAACCTCTAAATCAAAAGGGACTGAACTTGTAATTAAGTTATACTTGCGTACCAATTGTGCAATATATGAAACTTATATATGGATCTCGGGTCTATAAAACCAACTCGTCTTTTAGGGTTTTATACATCAAGAGCGTGTCTCTTCTATTTATCGCCGCATGTTCTTAGTGCAAATGGAGACTGATGATGAATTTAATCGTATTTTTGTTTCTTCTATTCATTGTTCATTGATTCGAAGTTATCGATAGCCATGAATCATGGAACGATAGGTAACGCTTTCAACGATAATTCTTTTGTTTTTTTGTTTTTTGAATCATTTTTGAGATTGAAATTATGATCAAGTTTTTGGTTGATCGTTGATATGATGGCAGCAATGTATTAGCTCTATCTGATCTTTCTAGATTTAATACCATGATGAATTGAGTTTTATAAGCTTTTTAGATATGAAAATTTGGTTGTTGATTGAACTGGAGAATGAAGTGATGATCAATAGATTCCCTATTGGTTTGATTGGCCAGAATGATGGCGAAATTCGTATTAGTCTATCTGATCATTCTTCTTTCAAATATGATTTTATTTACTTTTTTTCTGGTATCGTTTCAGTATTTTGAACATCTTGATGGAAGATTATTGAGCTCAACAGTTTTGTTAGGGTTTATGTTTCTTTAATTTTAAGCCGTTTTATGGGTTGTTTTTTATTTTAGATGTGATTTCTCTTGAACTGAAGGAAAAATTAGAAATTGGAATAAAATATTTTCACAATGTATTAGCTCTATCTGATCTTTCTCGATTTCATACCGGTGATGAGATTGAGTTTTTGTTTTAAAGCTTTTGAGATATGAAGATTTGTTTGTTGATTGAAGCGGAGAATGAGGTCTCAATTTCATAGTTGTATTCTAAGCCTAAGAAGTAGCTATGGAAATAAGTCTGAACCAGACCAATTCAGAGTTATGTTGGAAGTATAGAAAATAACAAGTCTGAAAGACACTTCAGACTTCACAGTTCAGACTTTATTTGAATTCCTATATTCAGACTTACAAGTCTGAAAGACACTTCAGAGTTAAATTCAGACTTGCAACTCTGAATTTCTCAGACTTTTATGTCTGAAAAAGTTTGTAGAGATCAGACTTATAAGTCTGAGAAATGGAAATCCAGACTTTTGCTTATTTAAGTCTTTGAAAAGAAATCCCTTTTCGTACGAAAATCAGTTATGTTTACAGGGACAGATGTCAATTAAATAGGCTCATTTGAACCAATAATGTAAAATTGTGTCTACATACATGTTTAGGCGGGAAATCCTTATAACCCGTCGCACAATAAGACGACATGTGGCTTCCAAGTTACTTATTTATTAGATGTATATATATATATATATATAGAGAGAGAGAGAGAGAGAGAGATGAGAGAGAGAGACTTGGGATCATGTGAGACCAAGGATTTTTCGTGAGACCCGTAGGACCAATTCTCAACCTTTGGATTAGATTTACAATCTGAACATTCATAATCACAAAATTGTTACCGTGCAACTTTAGAACATTAGATTATTAGCTTAAAAAGTTGATCAATGAACATAAATTGATCTTACGGGTCTCACGAAAAACTATATAGGGGCTAGTTCAAAAGTTAACCAAAATTATTGTGTTAATTTTGTTAACCAATCGTGGTCCTTGATTCTTACAATAAACGGTTGTGATTAATCATGACAAAAAGTTAATTTTTAAAATTTGCAATTCAAAAAACATATGTGAACAAAGGGAAAAAGGGTATTTAGTTAATTTTTCTTTTTTATGTAACTCCCATATCATTAATTGGGAGTTACAAAATCAAAAAAATCTCATTATTTTTTGTTAATTTATTTTTGTTAATGTAAGAACCATATGAACACACACACACACATATATGAACCATTGTGTCAAATACGAACAAAAATTGACATATATATGAACTTGGACTATATAGCATTTATGAACACAATATGAACATAATAAGAATAACTGCTACACGAAAGGAAATAAATAAAAGAACATGTATGAACACGATATGAACAGCTTGTGAACAATAGTTTCTTCATTATGAACACATTCAGGAGCGAGCTAATATTGAGATATGCAGCTAGTGTACATATGAACACAATACGAACACTTGTGAACAATAGTTCATTCATTATGAACAATGAATTCATCCATAATAGCTTGAACGATACCGAAAACTTTACTACCAGGTCTCTTCTACCAATCACAAATTCAAAAATATTATAGATAAAAAAATCAATATTATAAAAAAGCAAGATCAATAATAAATTAACAAAAATTATAAATTCAATATTAGATGTCTTGATTCATGTCCCTACTAGAACATATTTGAACACACTTGAACGTATATGAACACTTGCAGTCTATGGCAGGTCAAACATCACAAGCAGCTGATAGAGCCGAATGGTAATCAAAATTGAATTGCATAACAAATTAAGTTGACGATGAACTCATTTCATTTGAACACATTAATTGGGCTCGTAATAATAATTAAAGAAAAAGCTACCAACACAATATGAACTATAAAAAACACAAAAACATCACAATCAACATAAGTTCGATTAAAACGAATACAATAACATATTAATCAATTACCAATGCAAACGCTTTGATTATTGTTTTCACTTCCGCAACTCGAAGTCTGATTGTCATCGTAAACCATTTTAACCTTCCCATTGTTGTCGAATTGTTTTCAATGGATTTATCTATATTAGCTTGAACGATATCGACAACTTTACTATTGGGTCTCCTTTAACAATCATAAATTCAAGAACATTATAGATAGATAATCAATATTATAAAAAAACAAGATCAATACTAAATCAATAACAATTATGAGATTTTTTGATTTTGTAACTCTCAGTTAATGATATGGGAGTTACATACAAACTAAAATTACATATTTACTCTTGTCATTAAATTATGAGATAGATATGAACCTAGATAAAAGATGGTTTTTCATTGGTTGAGCTTGGTTAACAATGTTAACACAGTAATCTTGGTTAACATTTGATCCAAGCGCTCTCTCGGGGCTGGTTCAAATGCTAACCAAGATTATCGTGTTAACTTTGTTAACTGATCTTGGCCGTTAATTTGAATAATAAACGGTTGTGATTTAATGATATTTAAAAATTAATTATTAAATTAATATTTTCAATTAACATATGTGAACAAAATATCAAAGGGTATTTAGGTAAAAAATAATCTATCTTTGATACACGAGTTGTCAGACATATGAACAATTTGTGTATATCCTCAAAGCACATCAAACAAAAAAAATTAGACATATGAACAACATGTGAACCGTATGAACATCTTCTGTATATTCAGGAGCCAACTCTGTTGTATATACATGAACACCTATGAAGCTTGTGTTCACATGAATCACATATATTGTTCATATTCATGTGATGTGATTGTGCATATGTATCGATATGAACATCTATTGCCTTTGATATGTGTTCAATTAAACGAATTCAAATGTCATATTAATCACTTACCAATATGACCGCTTTGATCATCTTCTTGAATTCGAATTCCGACCGTAGTCGTAAACGATTTTAACTTTGTCATTTCTATTGTTGTCAATATGTTTTACAATAGAATTATTCATATTACTCGGACGATAAGGAAATCTTTTACACTTACAAAAACAATATCATTATATGTAGAACATCACTTGAAAATTACGATCATGAACACGTATGAAGATAAAATTCAGAATTACATTATGATCAATTAGTGAGATCTTTAAGATTTGTAACTCTCAATTAATTGGGTTATATAATGGTCAAATTACCTAATTACCCTTGTATTTAATATATGAGTTACATTTGAACATAAAATAAAGATGGAATATGATTGGTTAGGCGTAATTAGTATAGTTAACACAAATTTCTTGGTTAGTATTTGAACCAAGCTCTCTTTCTTTCTTTCTCTCTCTCTCTCTCTCTCTCTCTCTCTCTCTCTCTCTCTCTCTCTATATATATATATATATATATATATAAGATTAAACAAGAATAAAAAAAGGTAAAATCACATGTGATTTTACATATGACTAAGAACATGGTCATGGCTAAAGTCGTGTGAGTCATATGTGATTTTTCATGTGAGGTCCCAGCCAAAGTTGTATGGATCACATGTGATTCTACACTTCTTTCTAGTGTAAAATCACATGATTAATTTGGTTGTTTTTCATGTTCTTTTATTTGCATATTGTTCTCGTTTGAATCTCACACACAATATATATATATATATATAGGGGTTGGTTCAAATATTAACCAAGATTTTTGTGTTAACTTTGTTAATCAAGCTCAACCAATCATATTTCATCTTTTCTTTAGGTTCACATATAACTCATATATTAATGACAAGGGTAATTAAGTAATTTGTCATTTATGTAACTCCCAAATCATTAATTGRGAGTTACAAATCTAAAAATCTCAATAATTGATGATTATGTAATATTGATATTTTTTTATACATGTTCATGTTTTGTAACTTCGATTTATTCTATCCATAATGATATTGATTTTGTAATTGTTAAAGAATTTTCAATTGTAAATATTTCGATATCGTCCGAGTAATATGGATAAACCTATTGGAAAACAGATCGAYAABWATRADAATGAAAAGGTTAAAATCGTCTACGACTACAATCGGAATTCGAATTCATATGTAATTGTTAAAGAATTGTTCACAAGTGTTCATATTGTGTTCATATGTACACTAGCTGCATATCTCAACATTGGCTTGCTCCTGAATGTGTCCATAATGAAGGAACTATTGTTCACAAACTATTCATATTGTGTTCATATGTACACTAGCTGCATATCTGAACATTGGCTTGCTCCTGAATGTGTTCATAATGAATGAACTATTATTCACAAAATGTTCATATTGTGTTCATATGTACACTAGCTGCATATTTTAACATTGGCTTGCTTCTGAATGTGTTCATAATGAAGGAACTATTGTTCACAAACTGTTCATATTGTGTTCATACATGTTTTTTTATTTATTTACTTTCGTGTAACAACTATTCTTATTATATTCATATTGTGTTCATAAATGCTATACAGTCCAAGTTCATATATATGTCAATTTTTGTTCGTATTTGACACAATGGTTCATATATATATATATATATATATATGTGTGTGTGTGTGTGTGTATGTGTTCATATAGTTCTTACATTAACAAAAATAAATTAAAAAAATAATGAGATTTTTTGATTTTGTAACTCTCAATTAATGATATGAGAGTTACATAAAAAAGAAAATTACTTAAATATCTTTTTCTCTTTTGTTCATATATGTTCTTTGAAATTATAAATTTAAAATTTTAATTTTTTATCATGATTAATCACAACCCTTTATTGTAAGAATCAATGGCCAAGATTGGTTAACAAAGTTAACACAAAAATCTTGGTTAGTATTTGAACCAAACTATATATATATATATATATATATATATATATATATATATCGACACCAACTCCGAGTATAAACTCCAATACCAACAGATCATCTTCTCGATAATATCGGTCCTATACATCAACCCCAGTCCAAGTCAATCGGCGTCTACTTCAACCCTGTTGTTTCCTCTCGGCGATGGCGACACAACGATGATGGCAATGGTTTCTTCAAAGACGGCCACCGTTGGAAAATCAAGAAACTAGCACGTCCAATGCCGGAACAACCGTCTCTTGACGAGAAATGTGGCAGGATGGAGGATTGAGAGCCGGTGGTGCAGAGCTTTGATGGCAGTGGTAGGGAGAATGATTTTCTTCCCCAATTTGTGGCATGTGTGTTATGTATGCTTATATAGATCTATATCATTCAAAGGAGAACTTAATATTTCTTGAGATCAAATCACAAATCAAAATTAAATTAGGATCATTCTCTTTATATATACTTATTGACATCTACTGATGTCCAATATGATACCCAGTACACATGTTGTGATACACTGTAAACAACAAAAATGCAAAATGTGATAAAAAGGAAACAATGAGAAAATGAAAATATAATTTGTGTTACTAACATAAAAAATTCAAAGATAACACTCTATGGAGAGTTACAGATTTCATATTTATAGAAACTATGGGTTTCCTATTTTTGTAGATAAAACTAATTAAACACATTTATGAGTTGTCTTTTTTATTATTAAATTATTTTTTTTCTATTTATTTAGTAAGTAACATAATTACCTTAAATGAGTGGTTCATACTGAATCTTACGGTTATCACAAATTGTTCTCATTTGATTAAACTCATATATATATATATATATATATATGTAGAGAGAGAAGAGAGAGAAAGATTTTCTTTGGATTATAGTATGTTCATAGTTATGCAAAGTACCATAGAGAGCAGTCAAAGGCATATGATCAAAATCTTTGGTAGTTTAGATGCATGTGCAGATGTTTTCGCAAAAATACGAAGACGGTCCATAAATTTGCACAAAACTTCCTCATTGTCATACACACGACCCAAGAGTTTGAGGTCATTAAGAAGTCTATTAAGATAGTTATAGTAGTCAGAAAGAGATTCTCCCTTTTCATGAGAGAAGAGCTCATGTTTTCGGACAAGAGCAATCTTTTTGCTTTTCTTAACTTCAACCATTTCTTCATACAAAACACACAAAGTTGTCCACATTTCTTTAGCAGTAGACAAGTTGACAATAGAGTGAAAGACTTCCTCAAGAAGAGAGACAACAATGACAGATCTGACTTTGGTGTCAAGAGATATCAGATGTTTGTCGTCTTCAATGTATTGTCTAGGACTTTTCACTAAGTATCTCCTAGTAGCTTCAAATTTTTCCTCATCCAATAATTCACTTGGAGTCATCTTCGTTATTTTTTTTGCTACCACGACGAACCCAAATTCTGGGAACGATGGGTCCTTCGTTTAGGATGGTAGGGTATCTATTGTCCACATCTTCTAGAAAGATCATCATGTGACTTTTCCACAGAGCAAAGTTACTAGGATTAAACTTTGGTGGTTTAGTTATTGAGCCATTGTCGTATGATCCAACAAAAGGGTTTTGAAGAGAAGATCTAAGATTAAAGGAAGAAGAGGCTGCCATTATAGATCAAGTTTATTAAGTTAAAATAGTCTGCTCTGATACCACTTGTTTGGACCCATTTTAAGAATGGCAAGCACACAAGTAATTATAGAAGGAGGGAGGGGGGGGGGTGAATACAACTATACAAATTTTCACTTAAGTTTAATTCTTATTGATATAAATATCAACACAAAGAAAACAAGATTGTTGCGGAATAGAAAAGATTAGAAACTTGTTCTAACAATCTTACACTTTGTAAACACAGAGAAAAAGCTATGTTGAAAGAAGCTGCCGATTTTGCTTTGTTCACTTAGAGAGTCATTTTGAAAGTGTAACCTTGTATGGAGCAACCACTTTGCCTTTCATACAACCATGTGCATCAAAAGCATAGAGGACACTTGTCACTTGAGGATAAGATGACAGAGTTGACTTCAAAATTTTTACAGTTGTCATTTTTGTCGTACGAATAAAAGGAACTATTCTCTCAAGTACTTTCTTGTCATTCCTTCAGATGTCGCATCAAGTCCAAGAAAAGACAAACATACCTTTCAGGTGTTTTAGGAAATGTCTCTTTCAAGGACAAGGTTGGTGAGATATCGTCAGAGCGGTCACTATAAGCATATCTTAAGGTTGACCTGTCAATAATCCTGATAACTATCAGTCGATCTACAAGATCAGCAAAAGAAAGGCCTGGTGTTGGAAATTGGAAGGCGCATCGGTAGATGCACATCCTTTGATGTCTGCTTCTCTTCAAGTTGTTGAACAGTTTTAGCTACATACCAAGCTAATTGAGTTCAAAAGATTTATATGTATTAATCCCAAAGGTAGAGATATACAGTTATCAACAAATCATTAGTGACCCAACAAGTGGTATTTTCACGTATCTTCTTCTTCATGTAGATGACATGTTTATTGCCTTCAAGGATCGGTCAGAGATCAAATGTCTGAAAGATAAGTTGAAGTCCAAATTTGAAATGAAGGATCTCGGCACGATGCAGAAGATTTCGGGCATGGAAATTGTTCGGGACAAAAAATTTTGTACTCTTACATTAGCACAATGAGCATACATCAAAAAGATAGTGAAGCGATTCAATCTTGATGGTGCCAAGACGTCTAGCACTCTGCTACCGAAACTCATCAAGATTACAAATGATGATTGTCCAAAGGATGACAAAGAAAATACCGAAATGCCAAAGGTCCCATCTGCTAGTGCGGTCGGGAGTCTTATATACGCCATGGTGTATACTCGTCCCGATCTCGCATATTTCCCATCGAGACAAATTGCATCAATATTGAACTACATTGCTTTTTGAAGACCCAATAACCAACTTCAACTTCTCAAAATGAAAACAAGTGGACGCTGATTTTAACCATCTGGGAATCAAACCAGATATAAATAGAACAACTGCAACTCCAAAAGTTATTACACCATGGAAAAAACACATCGTATACACGATTATTACATATGATAAATCAGAAACAAGATAACCATCCGTTTTAACGCCATATTTTGATGGTCTAGTGATACCCGCTTTCAACAACCATCTACCTCATATCCACGTTACCTTTTGACCCAATGCTCTGTTTCCCTTAAAACTTAACAAAATACGGTTCTGGTGGCCACAAAAACCGTACTTTAAGCTCACAAGAAAATATCACTATTAACAACTACCAAAACCTCGGCCTACTGAACTGCATTCTCTGCACCCAAATCGCAATTACAAACCAGCTTCACAAAAAGGAAAAGATATAGCAGATTCAAGAAATCCTTGCGCCTTTTGATCCCTTGTTTATTGTGGAGTTATCTTCCATAAACGAATACAGGCATCCTCACCAGAACTCACCACGGTGTTTTGATCAACGAAGGAGACTGCATAAACCCCACCCAGGTTAGCACCCTTTACAGTTGTACGGCTTGCGGCTGGCTTGCTTATTTCATATACGATAACACATGTATCCAGAGATCCGGTTGCAACCATGGTGTTATCGGGTGACCAAGCTAGACTGTTGATGCGAGCCGTGTGGTATAGCATGTTCTTAAGCTTTATCTGCCCATGACACAAATAATAAATGAGCCCGTGAACTCGTCATAATTTAGTATTTCAATTAGTGTGTGTTTGGAGTGCAGATGGGATTGGATAGATCAAAATAGGACTGGAAGGGGGAGAGTGAGGTAGGCAAGTGAAAAAAATGTGCAAGGGTTAGGGTTTTACATTGACATGGGTGGTTTAGTAATTTAACAATTTTGTCCATCTCCTTACTTGTTGTTCCACCTATTTTGGTGAGTCCTATAATGTCCCAATCTAAATATTGCACCAAACATGGGACAACAATTTTTCGTCCGTCTTGTCCTGTCCCATCTTGATCATATAACCTAACCAAACCAAACAAACACTATATATCCGACTTTCAAAAGTAGGGTTTGCAAGGAGTGGGATCTATACAAACATGTCCTCATATGCGATTTGGATCTGCATATATTCTCTTTTATTGGATATGGATTCAAATATTTACACACCAATGCGAAGGAATAATGTACTAATATCAGCGATAAAAAGCATAGTGTACATCCAGCAATGTATATGAAGTCTTTAATTGTCAAAGAAGCAATCAACAAAAAACTGATTACGAAAGGGCCTTTGGCGTAGCGGTATGTGAGTCCTTGACCAAACCTCACCAAAGGTGAGGAGGGTGTGTGAGTTTATTTGTTCTATTTGACGTATATAAATATTATTATTAAGGGGAAAAAAAAACCCAACAAACTTTTCCATTTTGAATGGTTTAGTCCCTGAACTATTTTTTTGAATTAAAACACCATTAAACTTTCTCATTTTAAATGATTAAGTCTTTGAACTATTTTTTTGAATGAAAAAACCATTAAACTTTCACATTTTGAATGATTAAGACCCTGAATTGTTTTTAAAAGATAAATAAACTACCGAACTTTTACTAGTCGGCTAATGTAACTTTTTTGGGTTAAAAGGATGTAGGTAACTAATTTTTAAAAGTGCGATGGTTTATTTATTAAAAAAAATGTTCAGGGACTTAATCAATCAAAAGGAGAAAGTTTAATGGTTTTTTCATTCAAGAAAAAGAAAGTTTAATGGTTTTTTTCATTCAAAAAAATAGTTCAGGAACTTAACATTCAAAATGAGAAAGTTTAATGGTTTTTCATTCAAAAAAATAGTTTAGGGACTAAACCATTCAAAATCGAAAAGTTTGTTGGGTTTTTTTGAACTTTTCGCTATTATTAATAATAAAAAAATTGAAAAAGATAATATTGAGTACGATTTACTGTGTCGGTTTGGTTTGGTTTAATATAAAAAATTATCAATATATTATGAAGATAAATATGAACATACCCATATCGTGCATCTAAACCGAACCAACTGAACTATATCCCACTCAGAGGTGGCATATGGAGGGTGGGATCTATCATGTATGCATACCTGACCTTTACTCCAAAGAGTAGAGACGCATCTGCTTATAGCTAATACGAATACGGATAGCAATCACTTAAACGTTGGGATGTATGTGCAAAAAGAAGCAGTAAGATTACCTCTCTGGAGTCGCGATCCCATACAACAGCTTCTCTATTGGCATCACCCGAGGCGATCATAGAAACATCAGGAGAGTAACGAATTACGGTAATAGCACCTCGATGCTTTTCAAGAACAGCTTCTTCTGTAAGAGAATCCCCCTTGACTGAATATATGTGCAATTTACCATCTTGCCCACCCACAATGGCTTCAGTTCCATCAGGCGCAAGTGAACATGCAGTCACAGTAAACCCTAGGTTAATGGTTGACAAAACTTGTGTACCACGGAGGAGGACAACACCTGACTCGATTGAAATCAATGCAAGTTCATGGTCACGAATAGCCAGGCTCAAGTCCTTTGGTTGGCTGCCAATGTCAACAATATTTGCCTCTCCACATTCATCTCCTGTTAGAGGAATCCTCCACACCTAAGTATTACGAGAGGTATGAAGGATTGTCAGAGAAAAACCAAACGAACCTGGTATATCCACACACAGGTAGGGTCCCCATAAGAGGATCCAGAAAAATTTCCAAGCGGGGGCAGAAAATAATTAGCATGATATCAATTAAAACAAATATTAATCATAAGTACGATTTTCATTAAAATGACATCCAATTGGTTTTTTCCTTCTTTTTCTTTCTCTTCTACTGATGTTACCAAAAAGATCAAAAGAGAGCCAAAGGGATTCAAATTTGCAACCTATAATGTCACACGCAATAACACTACTGGTGGACCACTTTTTATCAACTTACACACACCAATTTAAAACGGGTGCAGTTTTGGACTCCTAAATCTTTTCCCATTGCGTCAGGACGATAGGGCTGGATATGGGCACCCCCTAGGCTACTACTGAATCCCTCTACCCCAATAGAGAGGCTGTTTCCATGAAGTCCCACAATAAACCCTAAACTTAAAAAGTATGAGTGCAAAATCGTTCTTTAGGAAACTTCTCAATTTCTTTCAAAGATGATAATATCATAGGAGTCACATCAAGCATACAAATGTTGAAATAATTTATTACCTTATTGTCGAATCCAGATGATATGATCTCCTCGTCGACAGCAGCAAGACACTTGATTTGATTTTTATCCGGCCTCTCTAACTTACCAGCAAAGCCAACCCCTCGAATCCACTTGAATATGAATCCATCATAGCTGCTAGACAAAATAGTCTCCGGGCTGGTTTTAAGCACTACTAGGGAATTAACATTCTTCATGTGTCCGCACAGAATCACCGGGTCTTGATCAAGATCACTTGCAGAATATAAATATATGGTGCCACCAAGAGAAACAGTAACTATATGATCATTTTGCCAGAGACACCCGACTAGCATGTCCTCGACACCACCAGAGCCTGGGCATAAGGTTTTTGCAACAGTCCCATTAAAATCATCTGATATTGTCCATATCTTGGCAGTCTTATCAGCTGATGCAGTTACGACCTATGACAAGGGTACATAATTATAATTAAAGACATCAAAGTATGGTAATGAACGAAATATATATATATATATATATATATATATATATATAAACACTAAATATCTAGATGTCATCAGTTCCGTGATTTTATACAAATGAAGTAACAAATCCTAAATCTGAACTGAAAGCATACATAAGAAATCGATTGCACTGCCAATCCAAGAAGAAAAAATAATATAACTTTTAACATATAACCAACTTAAATTTACTACCTGCTTACTATCGGGACTCCAGCTAACAGCATATATGCTACCTTTGTGGGCATCCTCTGAAGACAACTCTCCCTTTTGTTCTGCAGTTTTTCCATCATATAACAGCCCCCTTTTGTCAGAGCTAACAGTGATGAATTTGCTGCCATCAGGCGCGAATCTTACACAGTTGACAAAATTCGAGTGATCCCTGCATGTGGGAATATCAATCAATCATACCAAATGCAACAAAAAGCTACTTGGTTAGCTGCAAGCCTTTCGTTTATAATGGTGTCTCATAAAATACTGTTAGTTTCTTCAAGTAAACGATTTACATGTTTGATGTCAGAGTTTAGGAAGATGAATCCCTAATCTGTTAAATACTCATCATTATACATGGAAAAAATTCATCATCCAGATACTATGTCAAGCTATTCCATGATACTAACCTATGTGACTGCTTGAACTTAAAAGGCGGTCCTTCATAGAAGTTCACCAAGAAGTCCTCTCCACAAGAGACTATACGGAATGGTCTTGTCGGCTTGAATGCACAACTTAGAACTCTCCTTGAATGCCCGTCAAATTCTCCGACATTGCTACCAGAATCCCACCTGTTTAAGACTGTTAAAATGAGTGTACTCCAATGTTCCAGATTAAAAAGTTCATATGAACAGTTACTCCAGATAAAGAAGGATGTCTATTTCTAACCATTGGACTTAGGGACTGCATGAGGCAGATATGGGTGATTAAAATAAGGGGGGGGCGACATGGGGCGAATAAGGAGCATGAAGATATTCCTGACGTCCAGCCAAATGCGAAAATGCTATGGCGTACATATTAAATTCGAATGAAACTTCCATACTCTAGCAGTAGCATGAAGAATGTAGTAAAAACTAAAAAGTCAACTCATTCGACCATACTTTATAGTAAAAATCACTTAACATATATATTTGGATATCATAAATGCTTAGTTGGCATTCAACTATCATTCATCTTGTCCCAAGAACCAAGTGAGTTTTCTTTAACTTGTCGGTACACAACGGTTATTAATAAACAATTTTAGCGTAAAGTCTACATTCTACAATCAGCTTAATGATAAGAACTAGATGCAATCGTAATAATAGCTATCTCACACACACAAACCAAGACGTGCCCGCCGGGGGGGGGGGGGGGGTCTTCACAGAAACAGCGGCAATACTCTTTGGTTTAGAGGTTAGGTCTGTATACATCTTCCCCCACCCCACCTCCGGTTGGGAGGTACTGCTAAGCTCTAGCTACAAAATTTCCATTTTTAAGGCTGACTCTGATTTTCAAGATTTGTAACTAAACATGACATATAAACATCAAAATGTAGAAGAACGATAGATACTCAAGAACATATACTCCTGTAGTTCCAAGAATACAGCTTGATTGACTTGGGGTGTGGAATGGATCCTTCCCAATTTTAAAATTGATATAAAAATTTGATAGTTGCATTAAACTTTTACACCTACTACGTTACGATACTAATAGGTTCACAAAATATGTATCGAATTTGCATTGTTCAAGAAGTCGGTCTGTGATTTGGACGATTTTTAGATAATTAGCGCCAGATAAGGTAAATTAGGAAAATTTCCATAAAATGTCAAAGGAGCATTTTAACAAACACGTTGTGATCGAGAAAAAACAAACCCACATGAAAGCTCGAATGAACGACTTGCCCTTGCCATCACCCGAAGCCACGATCCTCATCCCATCAGCGGACCACTGAAGATCATCAATCCGACCAGACAAAACCCGAAACTCATTCTTCAACACAAATCCATTGTGGGTACCCCAGATCCTAACAGTTCCGGACACGTCAGCCGAGGCGATCCACTCCCCGTTAGGCGAGAACCTCGCCACGGTGGTCTGATAAGCGTGTTCCGCATACACCTCGACCTCCAATGGTCTATCGAGGTACCGTATAATCACCGATCGGCCATTACAGTAAAGAAATGCATTCATTTTGGCATCACCGGATACTAATATTCCTCGGCCACGCTCCGTGGATGGGATACAGGCATACGTCTCTATGAGTTCCGCCATTCTTGATTAGTTTTTTCAGATTGTTTGGGATGTGAAAGAGATGATTGAAGGAGGTAAGGAATGGAACTTTTTGCAGGGAAGTTGGGGGAAATTATGTTCCAAGCGTCTGCTTCATACAAATAACGATACACCGGGATTGATTACTTTTTGCGAAAACAACGTGGGATGATTGATTGTATGTTCTCTTCGGATAATTTACAAATAAATATATTAAATTAATACAACAATTTTTTGTGAGCACAAATTGAAATAAACTTAGATATTCATTGAAAATGATTTCTTTATCGTTTATTTCGTAGATATTTATACCATTTTGTATTACAGGACTCGAACCGATGACTTCTGGAAAAAAAAAAACCTGAAGACCCGAGTTTTATTATCAGTTGAGCTAACCCCATAACTTCTATGAATAGATGACCGTTGATTTATAGATTTTTTTTTCAAGCTAATTTGAAAACCGAGATGAATTTGAAGTATTGTTTGCAACACCAAAGCAATTTTAAATTCGGTTTTTGGTTCAAAACCAGAAATTCAATTTTCAGTTGATTTGGTTTGAAAAACTTGAACTTGATCCAATCAAACTGAACGCGACTAAGAAATACATAAAAATGCATATCAAACACAAGTTAGCAAACCGGTTGATTGGTCGGTATTTGGATCGGCAAATCTCCACAAGCTTGAATTGATCCGTCTTTTGATTCATGGTTTTTCGAAATAACATTTATAGTAAAATAGGTTCCTTTTATGTACAATTAATAAAACACCATATCAAATAAAGAGAACTCGAAAGCCGTGACGGCTAAGTCAAGAGGAGGCATTGTGCGAATGCCATTGAACGTTTCGTGATTAAAAGAATTGTAACCCTCACATGTCGGTTTGTTTGACTGTTTGACAAGTACACCCGTTAATCGACAACCAAGTAGGCCGAAAAAACTCTTGACAAAAACTTAAAACCTTTTTTTCTTATAAAACCACTTGGATTGTAGGTCACTCAAAGGGATCTAGTTAATCTACCCCATGTTCGAATATAAGCGCTACCAAAGTCTTTATGGCAATGGAAGTTCACATGCGATAACTCAGTTCATTCATGGTCGCCAGGAGGATTAGTCGGTGAACGTAAGCTAAACCCACGGTTAAAATACAGAGTAAAATAAAAATTCGCATTTTTATTTTAAATTTATAAGATAGATAGAAAGAATTACAAAAACTATTCCGTACGTTAATAAAGAGAGTGCTCAATCTAAGGTCATTCTGTTGTAGCCCAAACAACCATTGCTGTTTGTTCGTAGTGGTCGATAGATATCATTGATCGATAAAATGAGCCAAAGCACGAGCGTGGGCACCAATCAAGTCAAAAAACAGGCAACGTGTGCAAGTTACTAGTGCCCCACTGCCAAGACTTGAAAGACCAAACCCAAGGACAGGCTCAAGCCATTAGGTTGATCGAAACCGAAGTGCAGCTGGAAAGACGAACGCTTATCTTGCGAATCATCATGGCTTTCGGCGGACAATTTTTATAGCATTTGCACAACCGTTTTATTCTGAACTGTTCCCTTTAAGCACCTCCTGTTGCACACCTATAAAACATTTAGCAAGAGTCGTAGATCCAACGTACATTTGAGTTTTTTTATCAGAAGGTCGTGGATTTAAGAGAAATTTTTCCAAACGACCGAACCACCAAGATAGAAGTAGGTGTAAAACCAACTTAAAAGATGATGCATACCTCAAATGCTTCTCTGGAAATCTTCATCTTCTTCACCTCACCTGCAGCTACTGTAACTCAAATTTCTCTGCAGCCCAGATGCAATTTACTTCTAGAGATCATCTTCTATAATAATGTCATTTATAAGATGTCGTGTGCCAAGTGTGGCCACTATATCGTTACATTTTCCGCACGGCATATACATACATCTTTATAAGAACAAGAGAACGTAAAAAGAAAACAGTAAACGGCTACATCATTGTTACAAGTTCATAACACATCCATCCAGAAAGAAATTATCTCCATCAATGGTATTCAAACTTGGTTTTAGCTAGCCGCTTGTCCACCGCCGTTTACGAGCAGGGCGCTCGGGTTTGACTTCTGAATCGGGACGGGTTTCCGGTTGGACACAAGGCAAAGGTTCGTTTTCCATCTTTTTAATGGCAATAGCTTCTTTCTCACTTGGCATAGGAAGTTTGAACCGCTCGCTGCGCTTCTTCAACTTCTCAACCGTGTCCAAGTGTTTGTCTTCTGCTGGTTTTGCATCCTCGGTTTTTATGCTGCTGCTGTCTTTCTCTTCTGCCAACGGTTTTGAATTATCGACGGTTTCTTGAGGCCTAGAGGATTCTTCCGCAAGTTTCATGGCGACCCCGTTGTCGTTAGATCTATCAATCTCTTTCGGATCAGCTTTAATGCCAAGATTGAAATCCCGGTCCTTGTGGCTCGTCCATCTTTCGAGTTTCGAACGCCCTTTTCTTGATTCTTGTTGCTCATCCTCTGATGAACCATTCTCCTTGTGCTTTTTCAATGATCTTCGTGTTAAGAGGTTTTGCTCACCACTTCGTTGCTCAAGCATGCCTCTCGAGCTTGCCTGATCAAACCAAAGCCAAATATAATATCTAAGCAAAAAGATGATAAGAAGATCATACGACCCTAGATATGAAAAGGATAACCCTAGCAATATGGCTATTAGAAGTCATGCCATCTTCCTTGCAGTGGCTTATCTAACAAGATCATCATGCTTCTATAACAGGAAGGTCACCTTAAAAACAATGATTGCAGATAACAAAAGATACATCTGGCAGTAAGCTGTTTCATATGTAAGTTGAAGCTTTTGGCAGATCATTACGAACTGCTTTTACCTGATGGAAATGAGAGTAGCAAAGTATGCGAAAGTTGCCTGCTAATACCAAACCAAGAAGAGCCTAGTATATCCTACCCAGAGGTGGGGTCGGGGATAAGATGTAAGCAGACCTTACTTCTATCCGGAAGAGTAGACCGGTTGTTTTTGCACGGCTAATGAAAAGTGTCTAAAGACAGATATAGATATGCTAAATTTTGAAAAGCTAATTATGAGTAAACCGGAGCAATACAAATAGAAAGAGCGACAAATATACTAAATTTTGAGAAAATAGATATGCGTAAGCAACAACAATATAAGCAGCAGCAAGTACGAGAAAAACATAACCAAGCTGTGGAAACTACACACCCATAGTCTAACCTAGGGTTCTACTCTAGTAACCTAACTACCGACTCACCAACCTATACCCTACCCCCTTCCTCTACCTCTCCAGAGCTCTTCCTCCCAACCAGATCCCACTCCTAGTCCAAGAATTCCTATCAGAGGTCATGTCCTCAAAAGTACCTACAACCGTCATGATTAATCTTACTTGTTCATCCCATGTCCTCCTTGGCTTACCCCTCCTCGCCCCCTCGGTCGTCACATTTCTACCCCCCACTGGAGTTGTCATTTGTTTCTACAAACATGATCAAACTATCGAAATCTTCCCACCCCCGTGTGCAACTCCCAACACTGGCCAGAAGACCCCATTCTGTATTCCGTCAAACTTGGTTCTACCACAGGTCCATCTGAGCATTCTCATTCTGCAACTTCCATCAGAAGACCCCATTCGGTATTATGTCAAACATGGTTCTACCAAATGTCTAGCTGAGCGTTCTCATTTGCAGCTTCCATCTTCCTCTCATGAGTCTTCCTTATCGTCCAACACTCCCCGGTAAAATTTGCCTTTCAGTTTTAACAGGACCTCCTTGTCACACAAACACCCTCGTGACCACACCATCTTTATGTGATGTCTTATGTCATCGTCGACCTCACCTCCTTTTTGTATCATGAAGCCTAAACACTTGAAACTATCTTTTGGGGTACCTTTTGCCTCCCAATGTTGACTTCCACCAACTCATCTATACACTCCCCACTGAAATTGCACCATAACTATTCGGTCTTGGAATGACTTATGCCTTGTGTCTCCAATGCAACCCTCCATTGCTCCAATCTCTCGTTCTCCTCCACCTTACTGTCGTCCATGAATAAGATACACCATGGGACACTCCCCTGAATCCCTCGGGAAATCTCATCTAGAATCACAGTAATGGGTTTAGTGTCGATCCTCATGTAACCCTATCTCCACCGTAAAATACTGTGTCACTGTAAATCCTTGATATCCTAATACTAACACATTAAAACTATTAATGGAGATTCTAAACAAATGATATGAAATAAAAAAGAAAAATATATTTGCTTGACCATATGCTATCAAGTTAATAAATTTTGGCATATGTATTATATAAGCTACTTATTTTTCCCTTGTACCACATGTTTTGAAGATTTTAAAGCCATCTATCCCACTCTCTGGCCAAAAAGGGAAGTGACCTTTTACCATTTTGACCTTGTAAATATTATATTATATTTAAACAAAAATATAAAAATTATTACATCCACTGCTGAGCAAAGCCATGCATGTGTTCGGTTGTAAATACAATATTGATTATGATGCTAGTTCTCACTGAGAGCAGATCAGTCTAAAATCATCAGTTTTGGCTGGAGAGCAAGACCGATGGGCAAAAAGGTAATGATCATAAGATGGCTAAATAAATAAAATCAATAGTAGGGGTAACCAAACAAACGTTAACCCAACAACAGGTGCCAAACAATATTTTTCCCAGAAGACAGAGATACTTTCCAGACAATTCAAGAGCAAGGAATGACATCAATATAGCATAAAATGGAAACCTTTGAAAAAAGCACAATCTTGAACTTTTTGTAAATGTGAGAAAGAAGAATAACCAACATGTTTGGTTTACCTTTATTTGTTGTGTCATATTAACAAACACGCTGCCTGCTTACTAAAATAATTGTATTCTAGGCATCAGGACCATCAAAAGATACAACTTGGAATTCTACCAGGCAACATGTTGATAATATTCCATATGACGGCTCATTAGATTTCTTATACTGTTGTCACTTTGATTTATATATCTGAAAAGTTGAAGTCAACAGTGAAACTTTCAATTGACAAGGGCCATTTTTGTATGGTGGCACTTGTCTAGGTCTTCAAAGCAATCATGCATTGGGATTTTTGGTAAGTTCAACCTTTATTGAAAAAACTAATTTGAGTAATTCAATTAACAAGCTACAAGTTTACAAGAGCATATATTGTACATTCCTGGATTTCATTAATTAGCAATCACAAATTAAAAAACATAAAACCAATAGAGCAAACAGTGGAGGTAAGTTGATAATGTGTTAAAAATTAAGAGGTACATAAGAAGTGCAGTAAAATGAACTCATGTTTGCCTTGTGGCATGAAACAATCATAATGTGAACTGAGGAAGCACATAATGAAACTACTAAGCAGTAAAAGATGTTTACTTTGTAATAAAGGCAAGAGGTAAGGCACGTGTATTTTACATGGCAAAATGTGAATAAGCGATTTTTGACATGGGAGATAGATAATGATGTAGAATAAGGCAGCAAACAATAGGACAGGACAGGACACTTATGTTGAGAAAAAGATGAAATCAAATGTATATGTGAATGCCTAAAACTCTATGGATATAAAATAAATACACTGGAACTCAAGATTTCTTAAAAGTTACAGAGAAACTAATGAATGAACTCCACAGACTACTTCAGCCAACAAAGTTATTTCAAACTTGTAAAATCACAATATGCAATCAAGAGTGCAAGCAGGAGAAGATGCCAGTAAAAGCACTTGAATGCAAGCGTACAACTGCATATAGACAAATAATCAAAAACCATTCAGGTGTTGTTCTCCTTCCATTTTTTACCTCGGGCAACTGTAACTCCACTGTGCACATGTGTGTTATATGTGTTCCACTTTCGGCACTATGAGGACATCCAATATCGTCATCAGAAGTTATGCTCCTATCAACTCCACCCAGAACACTTTTAGGCTCTTAGTCAACAGTCCTTATCTTAATAATCTTATCGAGCATAAAAGGGCATCAAGTCCCTGCTAGTGAGGGTCTCTCTTTCCAAGTCAACTAGTTATGAGTGCATTGTTGACCCCATGATCCTTCATATACTTATGCTTCTGTTTTCCCCATAAACGTAACAAGGCTTGAGGCTTACACATGGAGTACCACCTCAGAATAATGGAAAGCACGCATGGACTATTGTGCTTGGCATGAGTGAAGCTTCCATCCAAACAAACTGGATTTCTTTCATGGGATTTACAATTTGATCACGTCCAAACTCATATAAAATTCAATAAAGAGGAAATCACAATTTGCATTTTAGGCCTTATGATACCCACAGCCCTCTCCAGGGAGCATGTTGGGTACTGGTTCACGGTAAAAAAAATCAATAATGCATGGTTCATGAGGGTCTCATTTAGTATGTCATTGGGATATGTGGTTAGCTAATTACTTTAGGGTTGTTAGTTATGTGTGTGTGTATATATATATATATATAATTCTGTGCATTTATGAAAAATTCGTACATAATGAAAATACAAGCTAGATTTTCTCAAGATAAAGCAAGTTTATTACTTTTGGAAAACAAAAATCAACTAAATTGGTGTAGTTGTATGATGTCTTAACTCAAAACAAGTATAAGGAAGAACCGGTTTTGACTTTTGATTATTCGATTTGATAGCTAGAGTATTATTAATCAAAATAAAAATGGACAAACGGGTAATTGAATTTACCAATATAACCAAAAAAATTATTCACCAAGTAAATTAGTCCATTCATAACCTTTTAATACCCCCAACCAAACACCCCCTTAGTCTACATAAGTACATAATGTGGCTTCTGCAGACTAGATGTTGCAGAGCAAGTTGAGATCAAGTAGTTAACAGCTTGGTAGGTCTTGTTAGAATCTTTCAAGCAATGACCACGAAGAAGTAACTTATCTCCACGTGCACTAACAGATTCTCATCTACAAGGCAACTTATGTCAATTTAACCATTGAATTTGATTACACGCATGAAGGTTTTGGCGTTTTGTGTTACAAGATAACTTGAGTCACCAACATAATTAGTACTATTCATTTGATCTTCTTCATATATTGCTATTATGTATAAACTAATACCAACATAATCATGTCCAGGATAGTTGAAGAACCATACCCACCATATATGACCAGTAAAAAGATTAAGGTTTGATATTTTTTAATCAAGATGACTGCACATGCAACGTGTTTATGTCTGTTTAGAATCTAACGGCATCCTAAGTCTTCTTTTAAAGATATTCAAAATAACTGAACCATGTTGAGATCATGTGATTAAGTAATAAATTTGTAAGCGACCACGAACAGGGAAAGTCTAAATTAAGCTTCATCTATCTGTGTCTCTCCCTGGCAGTACATTTATCAGCTATTCTATAGAAAGTCTAGAACCTGGTTGTCAGGGAATCCTGCACACAGGTCTGTTCGCTTTCCATGGTCCGAGACAACCAATTAGTGGCTAGCATAAGGTACTTTTATGTTTTCTAAAGTATCAGGTGGTTTAAGATAACTGAGCTTACTATCAGGGTTTGTTTATTCTGAAAAGTAGGTTATACTACAGAATCCAGTGGTTTACATACCCGCTCACTTCTCTGACTGCTATTTTCTTCTCGGTTCCTCCTTGAAGCAGCCAAGGAATTGTGAATACCATCAGTTTCTTTACCCTTCCTTAGGCTTTCTTTGTGCTTCTTCTCCTGCAGCCCATGCATATCTTTAGTACTGGCAGTACGATCTGTACCAGCATATCCCCTTTCGTGCCTTGATATTTTCTCTTCATTATTAAGCTTGTTTCCATGTGTGTATGCATCTTCACGTCCACGATGCCGGGAAATGCCTTCATTCTCAACTCTATCCCTTCTACTTAGCTGTTCCCGCACGGTGTCTTTGAACTGATACTCTTTGTCTGAACTTCTATAATCTTCCTTCAATCTAGAATGGCCAACCCAAGCTTTGTCTTCTGCTGGCCGTCCACTACCCACTCCTCTATGACCGTCTCTTTCTTTCCAATCATCTCGTTCCCTCTGCCTTTCTACCTTCTCTCTCTGCAACCGACCCTCTTCTTTGTACCTGAAAGGGTGTTGGTCATCATCTTTTAGTCTTGCCTGCTCGTCTCTCTTATGCTGATCCAAATTATCGTCTCTTTCTCGCTTGCGCCGACTGGTGCTTTCTCTATGGGCATGCAAAGGTTCTTCTCTTTCAGCACGGTCCCCTCTCCGAGCATGCAGCTCCTCGTTTGATCTTTTGCTGTGCATACCATCTGAAATGTTATGACGAGTCTTTAAACTGTCATCCCTCTTCTGTTGGAATACCACATCTCTGTCATGGTCACCCTTCCAACCACCATTTTCCAATACTTTCCTTGAGCGATGCTCATTTTTATCACTTCTCTCATTTTCTCGAACCTTATGCCTGTGCCTAGATGCCATTTCCTCCTCATGGCTTCGTTTCCTCATGTCTTCAATTCTCATCCTTCCAACATGTGGATCCTCATCTTGCCACACTTCTTCAGAATCTCTCCCCTTCTTCCTATCAAAATTTTCAGATTTGACGTGTGACCGATGCCCCAGGCTTGAATCCCACTTTCTATGAGAATATTGATCTTCCATCCCCTTCAAAGCAGTTGGGTGCCTTTCCCTCTCTTGTCTCTCCTCACGACCTCTGCTTCGAACAGTACGCTCATCTTCATTGATGGATCTCCTGATGTTCCCACTGCACATTGAACCTCCTGCTTGAATTACTTCCTGCTCCATACTATCTCGCATGTTCTGCTGATCTCTGCTGCTTCCTGATTTTGCTTTGCTGTTTTCACTACTTCTTCCAGCTTTTGAATCTTCTCTGTCTTCACCTCTTTCAACAGAAGAATGTTCTGCTCGAGCAATCAGCTTTTGTTTTTTCATTGTACGTCTTGAGTTTTCTTCTTTGAAGGTATCAATGGCTGTTGTATCTAAACCTTGTCCCTCCCTCTCCATTCCTGAAATTCCATCAGCAACTACAGCTTCATCTTTAATAGCGTCATTTTGGTCAAAACTTCGATCCTCAGCACTCCCTAGTGTTGGAGGAGATGAAGAAGGAGTCTTCTTATGCCCAACACTTTCAGTTGATTCTTCTTTCTGATTATCAACAAACTTCGGATCCTGCAGAGTTCCACTATCAGTCAAATGGGGTGACCTATCAGCTGCTGTTCTCTTCGCTGGCCTACAATATATGAAGAACAATTAAATGGTATTATTAAAATGAAAAGGACAAAACCAAATTAATTTCAAAAGTAAAACTACAAAAATGTTGGGCAACATATTAGTGCCAAAACCAGACAGAGTACTCATATACACACAAAAAAATGTGTCTTTCTATAGTAGGTTGGAAATACTCTTGATAACTAATAATCTACATCAATTGACTAAACTACCCTAAGTTTGTGTTCTCGAGGCTTTTTTACAAAGGAAAGGGAGGGAATAGGGAGGAAAGTAAAAAAAAACTCATGTTCTCAACTTTTTTAGGAGGGAAAGGAAAGGAAACGGAAGGAAAATAATCATACTTATCCTCCCAAGACTTTGCTTCCAAATGCGGGAGGAAAAGAAAGGAAAGGAAAGGAAAGAAATTAAAACCCTTTAAAAAAGATTATCAAAATTACAAAACTCCCCAACCTTTCATTATAAAGGACATATTTTTAAAGGGTATATTTGTAAAAATGACATCTTTCCTTTTTCAAGAACATGAAGAAGAAATTCTTCCTTTTCCTTTCCTTTCTTTTCCTTTCCTTTCTTTTCCCTCCCTTCCTTTTCCATCCATTTCTTTTCTTCTCTTTTCTCCCCAAATTCGAGAACACAGCATAAATCCTCGATTAACAAGAATCTAGTTACATAATAAATAAATATGAATTCTATCTGGCTAAGCTTAAAACATAGAATAAATAGGACGTCATGAGCATCACACCCACGATGCCTAATGTGATTGCTTCACATATAGGCAGAGGCACAGAATAAAAAGCTCCCAATTCTATATTCATCGTCTAATAATCAATGATGGTGACTACATCCCTTTTACATAGATAAAAAGAAACCATAATTAGACTTGACAAGAAAACGACCAAAGATTGAAGGACTTTCCAATAACTAAAATTGTATAAAATTGTATAAAATTGACTAAGCAATCCTAAATTCCCAAATATCTAGCTACATAAACTCCTAGCCAATCGATTACGAGATATAAACTGCATGATGGAAAAAAGGAACTCTATTTACTCTTAGACTTGTGGTCCCGTCCACGTAAAGTAGTCAAGAAAGATTTCGGTGCAATCTTCCATGAATTGGCTAAAAACAAGAGAGCATAGAAAAACGAATTCATCTTCCAATTGATTGCTCTCTCGTCTTTAAATTCCAATGGATTGGATTTACTGGTTCAGAGTAAAAGGCTGCTTGTTATTGGTTCTCTAGGCTAAACATTTCCCTCGAAACCCTTTGTCCTCCCCTTCTCGAAGAAGAGACGCTACCCACAAGAGGGAGTCCAATATTTGTTAATGATTTTTTTCCTTTGTCCATGAAGGAAACACAATCCTTTCCAAGTGCATGCACTTCCACCCCTTCAATTCCACCAAGGTCTGAAAGTAACATTCAGAACTAGACATACGTTCATCTTATATCTATAACTACGCATTACAATTGCTACCAGGGAACAACTACATCCTCAGGAAAAGGCATAAAAGTTCATGCAACGATATATCATACCTCTCAACGAGGTTGTGAGGAGAGAGCTTCTTGGGGTATGAAGAGGTCCTGCCTCTTGATTCAAAATGATCTTCAACTTCTGTTTCTTTGAAACGTGATCCCCTATCTCCTGTAGATGTCATGTCATGCATAGAACCCATGAAAGGTGCTCTTCTTCCAGAAACATCCCTCTTCCTACCATTATAAGCTTGTGGTCTATCAAAATGATCATCTTCAGATCCAATGTCGTCAGCAATCTCAAGGTTTGCTCTGGGATTTTCTTTTGATGGAACATCTTCAGGCTGCTCAGCACCATCATTTTCTGGAACAGATTCATCATCTGCAGATCCCTGCAAGACAATCTGTTTCCAAAGAAAACATCAACTGTATGATGGAGGCTAATAAATCAGCTATGAGCCGAGGCATATTGGTATATTGAAAGATAGATTTGACCACTCGCCTCAATAATAGCATCGGAATCACGGACTCGAGGCGGCCGTGTATCAATGGATGGAAGTCGTTCACCAAAACCAGTTTCCACCTGTATTGCTTTTCCTGTTGGCTGGAATTTCCGAAGTATAAATTAATTAGATTTCCACCTTCTCTTTCAAGAATGTGACATACTGCTAAAGTATGATGCCAAAACCATGTAGAGGTGAAAATAATTCTTGCATCTAAGAGTCTTCAATAAGAAAACTAAAACAATATTTAGTCCATACCAGGTGCATCCGAGAGCGTGCAGATCCCTTTGCTAAGTCACTTTGCAAATCAGTTTTCCCTATATTACGATTTTCAGACGAGATGTCATGAATACCTGCTGCTGCCGCAAGCTCTGGCGGGAGATCCGGATCATACTCCTAAGATAGCATTAACATATTGTTTCTTTATTGTTCAGTATAATAATTTATGCAATGTATGTCACAGAAACATTGCATACCTGTTCAGTCCTCCCACTTTCATAGACACGAATTTTGCTTTGCATTGTAGCCTCAAGTCGATGTTGTTCCTGCAAACGAAATATAAGCAATAGTTATACCTGGCCTTTTTCATGTTAAGTCTGTCCATGAACATGTGACCGACTGTAGCTCTCAGAAAATATAAAGACAGCATGACAATTTTATAGCACTCACCAGCTGTTTGCAATATTCCTTCCAGCTCTCCTCATTCATGCCAAAGTTGAAAAAATCTGATATATCAATACCTTGTAGCCTCCATGGTTTTTCCTCAAAGCCATCAATGTCCACTTCAAATATAGTCCTAATGAGACAACAGGAGGTTAAAATTTTATAAAGGTGAGAAACTTGTCATTTTATTTATTTCACATAGTAGTCTGTAGCTAAAAGACATTCACATAGCCCTATCAAATCTCCCAAACCATGCTTTAAAGTCATAGCATGTCCCATGTTAGTAAATACACTGCATTTATCGTAGTAATCTAAATAAGGAACATAATAAATCACTTCCAGACTAAACAGAATGAATCAAAATAATGCATGTTGCATGGTCTTATGCTAGTCAGAAGAATACATTCTAGAAATTGGTGAAGGCAATGGCTCCCTCAATCTACTATAATGAAGCACTATACAGCATGCACAGAAGATGCTACCATGTGCCAGGAAGAGAACCTTTTTCCTTGATCACTGGAAAATCGCAGACAACTACTGATTTTGCGGCTGTCGCTTTGACTTGGGTTAGCAAGCCCATGTATGCCATTGTTGGAAAATCTCAGACAACTACTGATTTTGCTGCTGTCGCTTTGACTTGGGTTGTCTGAGATTTTCCAACAATGGCATACATGGGCTTGCTTTTTACCTCGATTTTGCCGCTGCATATGGCAAGATGGTAAGCATGATGCCCCATCGCACATGCATTGACTACTACGTCAAAATCATCGTATATTTGATGGATAAGTTCAGTGGTGAACAGAGATTCAAGAAAGATTCCCCTAAAACTATTCATCACAATTTATCATGTGCTAGGATGGACAAAGGAGGAGAACGGAGTAACTCTTGAATCCTATAATCATGTATTGTAGGATTTCAAAACGTGCGCATTCACCTAATCACTACTTGCAAAGGTGTGGACTGTGCAGATGCCCCAAAAGACCACTTGCAATAACTTTCTTTATCAGAAAACAAGCATCAGCAACTTTTTAAAATCAAAGATGAACATTTGACCCAATCTTCTATAAATAGATGCTATGTAAGGGAATATTCAGATAATTACATTGCGTGAATATTCATAAATACAGATACATCCAAAAGATGCTTAATTAGAATAGTGATCATAACACCATCTCGAAATTGAATGTCCAACATGATGAAGTGCTATACTTTCTTATAATTTATAGATAGCAATATATAATAATTTTTTAATTTGTGGTATGATAATTATCCTGCAATAAATATCCTTCAACTACTCCACAGCCACATTTTTTTGCTTGACTATTTTTTTTATATATCAGCCATTCAGAGCTTAAATTGAGACCTGAAACCACCTAAAATAGCTTGTGAAATATATATACAAATTTGAAGAGGAATGCATTCTCGGAGGTTTGTTGAGCCTCAACAAAATGAACGTAAATTATGGTGTTCAACAAGTCATGGTTGCACATCTACAATTGAAGTCTGTATCATAGAAATCATCACTTAATGATACACAAACTTCTTCTTCAAAATTCTGTTCAATTTAATTAACAAGCTTGAGCACTTACAGGTAAAGATTATTTTAATATAAACAGTTACAAACAATCTTATTGAACATTCGGACTTTTCTTCCCTGTAATCCAGCAAAGCATTATTTCAATTCTTTGAGCTATTGGCAAAGATAATTTACAAAGCATCTTGCTATAATAAATTGTAGGCAATTGCCTCCAGGAATGGCTGGATTTAGCCCACATAAATGGCAACAGTGACAAGGCAATTTCAGATGGTTTCAGGTTACCAAAGTTTGAGCTCTCAACAAGGCCATTCGAATTCAAGCAACACTAACAGAAACTAAAGAATCAGAACACAGGTTACAAGTTCATGAACAGATGCATCAGCACATTATAAACAAAGGCCTTATACTAACCCACCCCCACCACTTTTGCATGCTTAAGAAAGCAGGTTTTCTGATCCAACAATCTGACTCAAGTCCATTTGTATCTCAAAATGTAAACTAGATATTCACAACTCGACAAAATTCAACACTAACTCATAGAATATTAAGAAAATATAAATAACCTTCAGCTTCATCAGTGTGTGTGTATATATATATATATTATTCAGATGAAATAATATGCTTAGATATTACTCCAGAAGGTTCATATTTAATCAACAGCAATCCAGCTAGGAAATGATAGTAGTATATGGTCATTACTTATGTGAAGGAAGTGTGAAATCCAGTCCACTGCCAAATCCACGCCCTGCTCCATTGTTTCCCCAACCCTGCATCCCGTAACCTGGATGGAAATTTTTCTGCATGGGAGGAACATTTTTTATTCCGGCAGGTCGCCATTCACCTCTACCACGACCAGCAAAAGGTAACATACTTGCAGGTGGACGAACTTGTCCTGGGGTTCCTCCAGTTGCTACAGCACCTGCTCCAGGCATAGGTGCAGCACCAGGCCTCACATACTACACATTTTCAAAAGAAGATTAAAATACATCAAGAAGTTGATACCTCAGCAAATAGATAATCATGCATTATTAGCTAATAATAATTTAGCAGACACTAAAAGATAAAACTGTATCAGATCTCCAGTAATGAATCATTCTCATATAGTATAAGACGATACCCACAATTCATCTTCAAATAAAATGGCCAAGGAAATTATTTCATCACAGCATCATCAAATCACACACCATTCATTAACTAAGTCATGGAGTACTAACCAAGAGCTAAGTAAGGGAACTATTAATTGATCTTATATGAATTTGACATGATGCAACTCACCACAAACTAGGGAAGGTTAAAATACAATTATCAGAAAATATTCCATAATTGTTTTATCAAGAATTACCCACTAAACTGAATCAAAAGGATTGTCAGGTGGATGGCCAAACCATACCACTATTCTTTGCATAAATTCAACTAGTAAAGACTAAAGACACGTACTTGCAAAATTTTACAACTCAACACATGCCTTGAAGCAATTAAGACATGAACTTAAAAAGACGAAAACGTGGATTATTTAATATTAATATGTTACTTGCACTTAGATTGAAGACTAAGTAAAATGAACTTGTACTCATATTGAAGACAATGTTACGTAAAAGTAAAATTGTTTAGAAGTTAATTGCTCAATTGGTCTGCTTGACAGTGTTTGTGCTTCCACGTGTTCTGGCAAAATTTAGTTAAAGAATTCTATTGTTCCTCATTGTCATTGATTAGCTTGATTACCAATTAGGCAATTATATCATGTTCTTACCTCTGGTGGAGATGATTGCAGTAACACATAGATTTTGGGTTTCCCAAAGTTATTTAAATAATAAAAACCAGGGTAACCAACAAGTTTTCCAAGTTCAGGCACCATGTGAAAGCAGAAAATACTGATTCGTCACAAAGCTGCTCCTATTAGTGATGGTTAAGGTTGACCTTCATCTTTTTTAACACATGAAAAACAACAGCAACAGTAATCGCCACCTTCCAGATACAATTATGTTTGGAAGACAGATCGAAACTAGAGCTGGTTCAATAAAAATTTGACCATTAAGATCATAACAAGCAAACAGAAGACACAAATGCTAACTGCAACTAAGGTAGATTCCAGTAGAATTGAGGTACGTTCAGAAGAGTTGCTTATGTTAGAGTACTATAGCCATTATCACATAGAATTCACATTAGGCAACAGTCGATGTGTGTCTAGATGGTCAGGAACCTTATTACATTATACTTAAAAACAATCTGAGCACGTCTTGGTGGTGAGAGAAGAATTTCATAATTTCAAGCATGAACGTCATAAAAAATTAGAGCAAGAAAAGATTAGAAGCCCAATATTTGCAGTTTCATAAAACAGGGGATAAACAGAATCCAAGATAATATGAACTTGGAATTGAATTATATGACAAATGACAAGAAGAACGCATTAGAAATCATAAAGGAAGTTCCATAATTAAATAAAATATTTTCATTGATCAATGAAGGGAGTCAGTACAACAACAAAACCACCTTTAGTGGTGGCGCTTGCAACTAATATGGCAAAAAACAGGTACATGTACCATCTTTTCTAACTAAATACCAATCTATGGTACAACAATTTACATGCCAAGATAACCCTACATGTATTACAGTTATCACTGACCTTGAACTGGGAATGAAACGGATGATACCCGTGACTGCCGTATCCAACCTTCTGTGCAACCACAGCTCCACCAACTCCTCCACCCTCAGGTTTCCCAGCATCACCGCCTAACAAATCTTTTCTTTCTCCTCCTCCTTCAGCAGCCTGACTAGCATCTTCACCCCAATCTTGCAGCTCTTCCATTGGTGGATGATGATGAAGATGATTTGCATCAGCATTACCAGCAACAATCACCAAATTGTCTCCATCTTCGTCATCCTCTTCATCTTGACCTCCACCCCCGTCCATTCCCATCATCCCTGCTCCAGTGGTATCATTCAAAACAATTTGCAAATCATCCTCGCTGTCACTATCATCCCAGTCGTCACCACCTTCCCCTTCTTTGCCACTTCGCTCCAAAACCCTAGCTCCGGAGGATGATAAACCCGGAATCAAAAACTCCTCTTCCTCCCCAGCATCTTCAATCCCAAAATTTTCCTCCAAAGCCTCTTCCTTAATCTGCGAAAATTCCCCTTTGACGTCATGAACAAAATTTGGATCTTGTTCAAGACCCTTCTCTTCTGCTTTCACCAAACCACTACTGCTCCCAAAAACCCTACCTCCTGAATCCGCTGCCGGAGCTGCCTCCTCCCCCCAAACACTTTCTTTTTTTTCTGCAGCTCCATCTCTTTTATTCAAATTCAGATTTGAATCAGGTTGATCGAATTTCAACTTACCCGAAGTCTTGGCACCGTAGAGAATCTCCTCATCATCGCTGGAAATTCTATCGTTGAGATCGATCGAACGAGTTGGCGGCTGCGGTGTTGATCGTATCTGCGGTTGAGGAGATGCAGACGACATCTGAAGGGGCTGAAGTACATCGGTGTATAGATCTCCGAACTCGTCATCGTCTTCCATTAGATCCTGATACTACCACAAGGGTTTCAAAAAGATGGTTAAAAATTTGTTGGGATTCTTTCACAGAATCAAATTCCTAACTCAATTCATCGAAATCAATACTATGGCCAAGGAATGATCACCGTTACAATGGTTTTGTAGGCGCACACGAGACGGAGAGATGCCCTTCTTGCCGCGGTGGAGTTAGGGTTGGATTCTTTTAGGGTTATTTCCAGACCAACTTTTCCAGGATTTTATTTTCAGGTTTATATACCCAAGTGTGTGTGTTAATGGTCAAGACCGAACCAAAATCTTTGCAAAGTTTTGCTTATACAAAAAAAAAAATTAAAAACAAATTCGATATTTCTTTTATAAAAAAATCGTACTTGAACTTTATTCAATTAGAGTGTGTTTGGTATGCAGACTACATGGGACAGGACAAGACAAAAAAAATAATCTCATGTTGGCATGCCATGGACAAAACAAGTAAAGTTCAAGGGAAAAGTTCTCTCTTCGATCACTACAAGAGAAGAACGCGATATCCATGTTATATTATGGGCTATCGTGTTCACTGATCACTTTACAATCAATCTCAAGAGCCAAGACATAGTCGTGCTTACCATGAATGACTTGAACAATCACCAAACAGTTTGTCTTGACAGACACCTATGACTGACGGTTACAAATTTATGATCCATCCAGCTTAAAGCTTCTTTCATGCCTAAGGGTTCCACAATTATCAGTTCCACTATTTCTCTCTACTTTCCTTTGCAACCCAATGAATTTTCCCTTATTGGTTATGGCCCACACATCATAAAAACTAACCTTATAGGTTGTAAAACTACATGGAAAGAAAGGTAAGATCTATACTAAGCTTGGATTTGTATTCATTATTGACACGAAAAGAGTACTACCAGCATGGAGTCTAATAAGAACTTAGAAAGAAGTACGTTCAATTCGGTAGTAGTTTAGAGGGTTGTTGCCACAACAACCAATACCAATACTGCAGCAAGGTTCTGCAGCATTCTAACGCTGAAACTCCAACTGGATCTTGCACCCTTGCTTGCTTTTAATTATTAGTTTCATCTCAGTAGTTTGTTAACTCACTCTCAAAATATTGATTCCATTTTACCACTTAAAATCTCATTTTAAGATTGACTTTTGTGACTCTTAGGTGGCGTTTGTGTAATATTCGGTTTTCAGATATAGTTGATCGGGTTTTAAAGTAGTTTGGTAATGAAAAGTTCGGGGTTAGAATTCGGCTTATAAAGGTTATAAAGGAATTTGTTTATAATTCTCTTCTTTTCTCAAGTTATAAAGGTGATTATAATCTTTTGATGATTATATTAAGTGAGAGTAGGCTTTATGTGGGGGGGAGGTGCTTGCCCATGCACGGCCCCCGTCAACTCCTTATTATATATAGAAGGTATGGAGCACTGGAAGAAGGGATTGAAAATTTTGAGAAGCAAAAGCATATATCAAGATAAGTTTTTGGCCAAGGTGAGTTATACACTGCATTTGGATATGTCTGGTTCTTACAACTTTGCAAGATATGTTGCTAAATATTAATATAGGGTGTTTGAATGGTTTTTACTACCTTATATTTGTTGTTTCACTTCATCGCACCTTGAATCACCCAAAAAGGAACCCTCATCGGACAAGGCATTGTCCGATGAGGTCCCTTCATCGTTCACAAGGTCAGCCGGGAAGGACCTTTCACTGATCAAATGATGTTTGAATAAGACTCCTCACCAGTCAAGGCTGTGTCCGGATACAACTCCTCACCAATCAAAACACTACCCGGATATGACCCAATGTGGTCCGATGAGATCCCTTGTTTTTATTAAGTATTTGTTGCACTAAATCTTATTACTCATTTTACCGCGATAGATGGAATGGCGGTGTAACCTCAATAGATGAAATGGCGGTGTAACTGTAATAGATGTATTAGCAGTGTAACCGTAATAGATGAAATGATGGTGTAACCGCTATAGATGTATTGGTGGTGTAATCGCGATAGATGAAACGGGGGTGTAACTGTGATAGATGAAATGGCAAGGTAACCAATATATTACTAAATGTAAAATAATCAAGGTTTGAACATTTTTGGTGTTTGTAATAGGTTAAGTTTGTAAGAGGGTAATTCACTCACTATACCTTTTTGATCTAACCCTCATTTGTTGTAATAAATTGTTTTGCAGGTCATCCACCAACTCATGATAAAGGCAAAGGAAATATGTAGAAGAAATTTTGGAAGAAAGTTTTATTATGACAAAAAAAATTGTTAACTCATACTATTGATTTGTCATATGTAAATATGTCTTGGAGTGTTTGTAACCTTTTGAGATAATAATGTAAGTGGATGTATGAATTGTTGTTGTTAGCACTATTGTTGTTTCAGTTTGGTTCGTTGAATGTTTTTGGATGGAATGAAATATGTTAAAAGAATTTGACTTTGAAGAAATTGAAATGAAATGTTTTCAAGTTTGACCACCTGTTTGGTTGGTAGATATTGGAATAAAATCTGTTAAGAAATTAGAATCTGTCTGTTTGGTTCACAGAATGTAGCTTTGGAATTGGAATGAAATATTGGTAAATGATCAAAATGCTTTTTTTTGAAAATTTTAATAAAATAATTATTTAATATGTAAAACAAAATATAAAATACGCAACCCAAATGTAACCATAAGTCAAACAACCTTACTAAATCAACAGTGGTCGGCGGTGGTTCAGATCGGTGGTGGTCTACGGTGGTTCAGATCGGTGGTGGTTCGTAGTGGTTCAGATGGCGGTGGTCGACAGTGGTTCAGATCGATGGTGGTCCGTGGTGGTTCAGATGGAGGTGGTCAGCGGTGGTTCAGATGGATGGTGGTTCAGATCGGTGGTTGTTTAAATCATTAGTGGTCGGCGGTGTCTGGCGATGATTCAGATCAGTGGTAGTCGTCGGTGGTCGGCAGTGGTTTAGATCAGTGGTGGTCCATGGTGCTTCATGTGGCGAAGGTCGGATGTGCTTCAGATCAGTGATAGTCGATGATGGTTCAGATGGCGGTGGCCGGTGGTGATTTAGATCTGTAGTTGTTGGTGGTGGTTCCGATTAATGATGGTTTGTGGTGGTTCAAATGGCGATGGTCGACAGTGATTCAAATCGGTGGTGGTCCATGGTAGTTCAGATGGCGGTGATCGGCGGTGGTTCAGATCGGCGGTGAATCAGATCGGTGGTGGTTCAGATAGGCGGTGGTCGGCGATGGTTCAGATCAGCGATGATCGACGATGGTTTAGATGGCGGTGGTCGGCGATGATTCAGATCACGGTGGTTGAAGGTGCTCGACAATGGTCATATTAGGTTTTATGAGATTAGGGTATATTGGGTTAAGGGCATATATTGGTATTATGAAAATAGAGAATTTCGTTCCATCAAAATACCATGTAGTTGCTAAGGAATGTTAAATTCATTTATTTGTGGAATTTATAGGAATTTGAAGATTCCTTCCGTGGAAAAGAATAAACCAAACGAGGGAATGAAATTTGGTCACTAAAATTCCACATTCCAATTCCATCAGATCCCTTCAGAATCTGCGAACCAAACGCCACCTTAGCTATTAGATTCCTGAGAAACGATATTCGGTATTACTTACTATTATTACTTGCTTTGGACGATACTAATGAGCCTTGTATACTTGCATGATTTACAGGTTGCTATAGCCTTTTAGGAGTATAGATCCTTCCACACCACTTGGCAATGGACATGTCCATTGAATTGAGTAGTCACAAAGTTATCAGAGAGTTTTCAGAACACAATTTGTGGTATCCTAGATCAAAAGAGGCCACTTTCGAAGTTTCAACAGTCAAGAAGCCCAACTTACCTCGACTACTAACGACGAGTTTCATAGATTGTGAAACAATAAGATTATGTGTGTTTTTTAACACTCCAGTTACTTTCTCCAAGCAATTGTACTAGGGCTACCACCATCTCGTCCATTTATAGATATCTCTCGCAAACATGATTCTAGATTAGTTCTCATCACATCGCAACCCTAACTCTCTTGGGTTTTGTGAAGATCCATCGACTTTTTCCATACCTACAAAAAATTAAACATGCCTCAAACACAAATAGAATCCTCAAACAAATCAACTATCTTGACAGTTATTGTGTGTCCATAGTTATAAGTTTATAGCGAAGAGAGAGGGTGCAGACACAAGAAATCTTAAAATTTTATTTTAATTCATGTTTTTCACTAATTTCTACAAATTAGTGTTTGGTATTTAAAAATTTCGTGATCGCTTTTAAGTACAACATATATTGTTTTTCATACTCGAATTTTGGAAGTTTTGTGCCTAAGAAAGTATGGACAAATTCAAGATTATAGAATACATATAATTAATCTATTTTAATCAATTAAGATTGGGAGAGTATGCTTCACTATCATAATCACCCGATGTTTGTTTCTTTTTAATAAACCAACTAGTGTGGGCCCCGCGTGTTGCACGGTAGTGATAAATATTTTATGCAGTACTTCACCGAGTTAAGATAAAACGTAATTCTTCAGTTAATAAATAATGAGATACAAATTAAAATGAAAAATGTGTTTCCATATGTGGTTTATTTTCATATGTTTGATAACCGCTTGTTGTTACGAAGAGTTTGAGATGTCTCGGTAATATTTTGTTGTTATGCTAATTAGATCTCAAACGACATGTCCCACAACCATATTACTAATATTGTTACGAAAAGTTTGATTTTTTTTTTTCAAAACAATGGACGACTAAAATTAGCCAACGTATAATTTGTCAAAAAGGGCATCATCTCCTCGTATCAATATATACTCACATCTTTCATACATTTTTTTTTCATCTTCTCACCAATGTGGGATAACCAAACTCATCATATTTCAAGATTTAAGAAATGTTTCATTCTTATGATGTCACTTCAGGGGTGGACCCACTTTAATATATACGGTGATACATTTCATCGCTTTGTTCCTCCGTTGTAGTGTAAAAAATTATAGAGTCGTGAAAGGTACTACTGTAACATTTTGTTTTGTGCAACAATATATATTTTGAAACTACAATGGTGACACAAATTTCTCTTGATAGAGTTGGTTTACATGACTTTTCTCCCACCTCATACCCATGTTTAAATCTCGTTTGTGTCATTTTCCTTAGTTTTTAGATTTATTATGTTTCTAAATTTTTTGCTATAAAAGACTTGAACATAAGACCTCATATATGAAAA